ATTTTATACTGAGAGGTCATGACACGCATTTTCTGCGGTTATTGTTGTTTCTGGTCGGCATGATTTGTTTTTAATACAAGAGCATTTCCTTTGACCTCTTTTGAAATGCAGTGCTTTTCATTGCGGCTAAATAAGGGTTTTAGGTTGTTTAATTTTCTTTAAAGTGCGTCATGGATCCGAATGATTATAGGCGACTTTCTTTTAGTCCGTGAATGTGACGGTTCCTACGATGTTTTGTCACGCGATAACTAGGTTTAGATTCCTGTTAACTCATAACTGTCTCCAGCAAAGGCACAACAAATGGATATACATATAAGCGTTAATATAACTATTCGCAACATGTTCATGAGCTGTAAGCAAGTTGCTCTTTCCAAATAAACCGAAACCTTTGGACTTTGATAAGTTAGGGAGCATTTTGACATGTTTTTATTTCAAATCATGTCTTGTTTTGTAACGGGCACTCCTAAGTTACGAACCAATGTCTTGCTGTTTATCACGTAAAATTAACACTTCAGAGAAAAATCAAAACTAAATATTCTGAAAATTAATTCGACACTTCTAAAAAGATCAGTAAAGTCAACAAAGCTCTTGTTAGGTAGAGGGTGCCCGGCTTTGTATTCCGATCCTCAGTAGACAAGTTGAGCTTGGGCGTTAAAATAATAAGAGTTTTTTTCTGCATATGGTCCTGCCTGTCTTAAATTTTCAGCGAGAAAACAGTTCTTGAAAGAAAATTGAAGAAATTGACAAAGGCAGAAGTATACGGTTGATACCATATCCTTTTCAGATTTATTCTACTTTTTTTTCGCCTTGTATAAATTGACCTGAGATGTAGCGTCCTCCTTCCCTTTTTCTTTAGAAGGCGCGAGAAAAAGATTCCTTTTTTCATAATCAGTCCTTTTTTGTAATCAGTCCCATAAAATCCATTCCATTCCTCAAGTTTTCACGGGATCATTTGCGGTCAACTTTGGGGATCACTTGCGTTCGAGGATCGTTTGCGGTCCATTTTGGGGATCATTTGTGGTCTCGGGATCATTTGCGGTTGGGGATCATTTGCGGTACTGAACAGTACCCACTAGGGATGATAATTCAGTTGGAGCAAACGAAAAGGAATAAGGTTTATTGTCATTTCCGTCGATAAGTTGTTGCTCATGTATCATCAGGTTCCTGAACAAGGAGGAAACAAAACTTTTATAAGGTCTTTCGTAGAATAAAAAACAAAGCCTGTGATACAATAATTTTTTTTGATACCCAAGTCTTACTCCCTGGCCGTGCGTATCATTATAGCGTCTGCACATTTTAATAATTGTTAATGCCAGCTATTAATGTAGAAAATGGTTAAAAATATAAATGTGCGGAGAAAACAGAGATCTTTTAAGCTTCCCAAAAACAATCCTACCTGTCTCAGAGAGGAAAGTGGTCGCTGTCCAAACGCTTGAGGGTCTCCAAAATGTTTTATAACTTCATTAAAAGGTTTACTTACACCCTAAAAACCAATGTTGAGACTGAATTAGCTCGTTTATTATGAGTCTGCTGACATGTAGCAGTCGTTTCCTTTCTAAACATTTCAGCTTTTGTTCAAGTATTAGGAAAACCCATCTTTTGTGTATCCTTTTGTGACTTGATGTTGTTGAAAGGCTTTTTTGCATACAACTTTTTTCCCTCAGGGCGAGAAAACAGTCACTGTCATGCAAACAAGGCTATAAAAAGAATGCACACCAAAACACTCTAAAATGCACAAAGCTAAGTCTCTTTCAATCATTTTGTTGAGCAAAATTTGAAATTTATCCTCATATATCTTTTTTCGCAAAACTTAACTTCTCGTATTTTCAACGCTTGCAAGGGGACGCGATAAGGGTTCGCTCAAAGTACACGTTCCGCGTCACCTACTGCGCCTTGGCCGATACGGCATGAGTTTGGGCCGTTAGGATATTTTGAGTACTAACAAATGATTTATAATATGTCAGCTGTCTTATCAACGACGCACTGACCTGTCTAAGTTCTCGTCGAATCTGATCGGCTCGAACATCGATCCATCCTCTTGCATTGGTGGCTTCCCGAAACACGCGACTGATAGTTTTGTTTGTGATTATTTCCTCCACCGCCATTTTGGTACAACAATTAACGGAAACGAAATTAACAAGAGGAATGGGCAAAGATATCCTTGTACGTGTCCTTTAGAAGACCTCTCCCCTAGCGATCGTGGAGGAGTCGCAGTAAGCCGTGGAATTCATGGTAAAACAAAGACAGTCACGAATGAAAGAAGAAAAATAAAGGCTAATGAGAAGAGATCGATAGACAATTGAAAAAGGAGAAGGTGACAGTTGTATTGTTCACAGCTATTCAT